TCTTGTTCAATAGAAAATTTAACGCCAAAAACAAGGTAAAAAGTAAGGTAACATTCAAAGAGAAGCCTCAATGAGCAATTGTTCTATTCCAATCGACCTCAATTAAAATTGCCACGGCTCGTATAATTGAGGGCAGAATCATATACAATATATTACATCTAATCAATACATAATAATATTGAGAGAATTACTGCTAGAATTATTCAAAATTTACCTTCAGTAAGCGATATAAAAGCTATTATGCTAAAGATGGTTGAAATGATTAATATGAAAAGAGGATTAGATTTCATGATGCTAACCATATAATGATATAAAAATGATACAGTGCCTGGTAAAAATTTTTTACTTCTCCTAGTAAATGATTATATTTCTAATTATTTTTCGATTATATTCAAGATTTATTCTTGAAGTATTTATTATGTTATCCACCGTATCTTAATAAAAGTTTTAATCAATTAAACAAAAAAAAAATCCTTTAAACTCTATTAGGCCATTCTTTTTATTACTCCCGTAAAATTTAATTAAAAATACACTTCTTACTCCCAAGAAGTCAATCAAAGGAACCTTTCATTTAATTGCTTTGAAAGGATTAATTATTTTCTGAACATCTATAGTTCTTATAGTTCATATTAAGTACTAACAATATTGTGGTTGGGAGTCATTTATTGCCGATATACTTATAACCAGGAAATTCTAGTTCAATGAGCATTTTCAAAATATTTGTATTACAGTAAAGGCGCATAAAAATTTTATTTTAATACAACTATAATTGAAACATTTATTATTTCAAGAAGGGATTTCAAAGAGGGATTCGGTAATACAGTATAATTGGTTCATCTAACTCATACTCGTCTCTCACCCAGAAGTTACACCTGTGGATAGGTATTGTAGCATAGCCAATCCATAGATATTATTCGCGTCCAAGTATAGGAGGAATGACGTGAGCTTTTCTATATCCTATCCATGCCTGGCTTAGGTCGGCAAGAATTCACCGAGAAAGGAATGCTTAAGGCTTTCCATTAACACTATTGAGGATTTCTTGAAGGTTTGCTGTGGCAGTACCTTCAGAAAGAAGAACCACGTGAGCTCAACGTAATCAACATCGAAATAAGGTAGACAATGGCCGCAGCATAATAACTTTCTGAGATTACCATGCATATTTATAAAGATCTCAAATTAGCAGCTCTGCAAGAATGCATGTTAGAAGTTATGCCAGATTGGCGTATCAATTTATTATCCATTCTTTGTTTCGTAATTCATTTTCACATGGGTACAGTATGATTTCCCGAATTCCATTTTCTCGAACTGGATCATTTCCCGAAACTTTAATTTCCCTAATATTAATATCCCGAACAGACATTTACTGAATTTAATAAATGATAAATTACAATGACAAAAAAAATAAATTCTTTAAATATTTTCCCACGATTTTAAGTTTCTTCTAATCTTCCATTTTGGATGGGCAACATGGTGCGAATTGATTGACTATCAAAAGATTATTTGGTTACAAATTTAAATTAAATTAAAATAAATATATAATAACTGTTATTTCGTACCTCACTTTTGTTATTCGTACCCCTACGTTTTACATTGACTTTTCAACTCAGTTTTTCGATATTTTACTCATTAAATTTATTTCTTTCGTTTTGTCAGTTGAGTTGGAACATTTGTTGTAAATTTACCTTACATTTCAAAAAAACGAAATCTGCTACTTATATCACTTTCAACTCTAGATTTCATAAAAAAACATTTATTGCTTTTAACTATTTTTATTTATGTCAAATACAAAGACACAATTTAAAGAAACATTTTTTGATAAACTTTAGCAGGACAAGAAACTGCGTCACAATTAATATGAATACATTCGTGTTGTTTAATTATTATTTCCTTGTCTGTTAAAGCTTTTATATCAACATAAGGAATATTTTAAATAATTCAGATTGAATATTGGATGATGATCTAATATATTGCCAGAATGCTATTAAATATGTAATGAAAAATAATGCTATGAATAATTAAATAATAATAAATAAATCACCAAGTCACGATGGATGACTCCTCATTATGTAGCAAGATACAGCATAAGGTATATTGATTTATCATTGCATTTTCCAATACCAATCATTACCAAATTGATTTTTTTTAGAAAAAAAGAAAAAAAAAAGTGCAATTTTGTAAATAAAAGTTATCACACTATATACAATGCATTTAGTACATACATTATAATAATGCTTTACATCCCATATAAGTTAAAAGGATAAAATATATATATTGTAATAAACAAATAAATTACATAATTTTTGCATTCCGTTCAACCTCGCGAAAACCCACGCCTTACCGAATCCTCCAGTTTTAAACCTACCACTTACGAAACTCCAGAATTAATTATCAAATTTGTGTTAGAGTAATTTTGCACTTTCTCAGCCATAGAACTCTCCATGAACGGAAAATATGGGAATTATGGATTACATGGCGAATCCGCGAATGGTATTCCGTAGGATAAGCCAGTCATGTGAGATCGATCATCTGAAATGCGCAGTAGTATTATATCGGACCGAGATTTTTCTGAAATCTTTTTAAGATTCTACGCCAAAATCACAAACACAACAATTGACATCAGTTACTAAAATCAAATCATCATCAGTTATTAACAAAGCTGTGCTAAAAAGAACCATGAAAACAAGAAGCAATGATGACGAGGAAGACGAAGAAGAGGATGACGATGAAGAACAAGATTTGGGTAATTACAATATTCTCGAGATTTCTTAGAAAATATAACTTATAATCTTTTTTAAATAGATTCTATACCAAAATCAAAAACACGATCATTGTTAAAATGATCGTCAAAGACACCAATTACCCAAGAAAGACTATCACAAGACAAAAGAATATTATTAGCAATTTATTAGCAATCAAAAAAGGGGAAAGGAAATGTCAGTAAAAAATAATTGAATTTTTGTTACATTTAAATTTTGCTTATTTTGATATTATATTTTATAAATAAATCAAATTTATCCACATTATTTTGAAAATGTCATTAAATTGTTATTAAACTGTCTTTGAGAATGATACATTTACATTAAATTGTCACTAAATTGTCTTTGAGAATGCTATATTTACACTCAATTGTCCAAAATTGGCAAAACCGTCAGTTGTCATGAATTGTTACTGAATTGTCTTTAAAAATGCTACGTTTACAATTAATTGTCAAAACCATCGTCACTAAATGTTACTAATTGTCATTGAGAATGTTACATTTACACTCAGTTGTCCAAAATTGTTAAAACTATTATACTAAATTATCTTTGAGAATGTTACGTTTGCATTCAATTGTTAAAATTTCACTAAATTATTACTCAATTGTCTTATTATCTGTTATTATCTAAAAATTATTCAAAATTTAGCTAACATTTTCCCGTTAAATTTTGGTTAAACGGTGTCAAAGTACCACAATTTACTTAATGAAGAATGCTCTGTTTTTCCAAAATTTGATGGAAAAAAATGCAAAATTTACCAGAATTTTCCGGTAAATGGGAGCACTTGACCGTGCATACTTGCCAGATAGCATTCCTTCATATTTATGTATATAACATCTTCAACTTGATAAATAGGCGCATTCTATCATATGCTTGCTTATGTTATCTTGCATACCAGCTGGCATTGAATGCCAATCATTAATTTCATTGGCAAGTCTACTTCTGGCATGATTTATGCCGAAACTTGTTATAAATCAACTACTTTAAGCGATTCTAGGGATTCCTGCTTTCTTTATTAATTATTTCTTCTTGACACTGCCAGTCTATTGCATCTTTAAATAATTCCTTACATGCTTTGATAATTTCTAGGTGCCTCATTAATGTACGACCATCCTCTATCTAGAACAAACCGTGCTATTGATTGTATTTCCTCTAATGTTTCACCTTCACCGAGTCAAAGTTCAATAATACATGCTGCTTTTGGACTTTGAAGAGCTTTATTAATAGCTTTCCACCATTTTCATTATAATACTCTACTTTAGAAATTGATGAAATTTTTAGGTAGATCCACATGGATTAGTTGTGGAATTCCATATATCCTACCGATCCATGCCAAAAATACCACGTGTTTTGTCACAGGGTATTTGAAAAAATATTCAATATTTCAATGTGGATTTATTTCCATGTGGAAAAATTTCCTGATGATTTCTGGGAAGCGCATGGCCATTACCATCTCTATTTCTTATACGAACGTGATCGATATTTTCCGCTATTAAAAATAGATCCATGAGTAAAATTAGAAAAAATACTATAGCGACCTATTACACTATTTGATTCTTCTATGTCCTGAACTCAAGCACCGGGTTGGCGCATTCTTTTTTCCCATACATTTATTTGTTGCTGACATATACTGGTGAAGCCGTTGCACTTTCAAAATACTCTATTACCCGCTGAGCCACACAGTTAAGTGTTCCATCTTTCATAGGCATCAACCGATTGCTGTCTGGCTCTCACTGAATGTGACACTATACTCAAGTGACAAATAACACGACGAAGACGGGCCAAACACGTGATTCAGAGTGGCCGAGATGCTATTCGTCACCTGAGTATCAGGTCATACCCCTGTCCCCTTATGCTGCACACCGCCAAATGTCACCGTCTACACTACAACTTTCCGTCACACCTTAACGAGTGCATTTGCAAAAGATCATCATACATTCCATGCATTTATCTGCAGAGGTATTGTATCATTATGCATTCAGAGCGTTGTATCATTTCAGTTTTTTTTAAAAGAAACTCCGAGACTTTTAACTTTTAACCTGTCCTTTTTTATAAAAGTTAATGGGGTCAACATTACAGAAGATTTCCCAAAAATAAAAGACGCTATCTACTGAAGAAAAACATACTTATAGTGATATATTATCGCTGTTTTCAATATCTTAGAATATTGAAAACAGCGACAAATAATTTAAAATAAACAAAATCGTTTAATTTATCTAAATTTATCTCACATTTTTTGTCTCTTGTTTTTTATTTTTATTTTACTGTTTATATGTGTTATTTCGCTATTTTCAATAACGCATTTTTTACGTTTGCATTTTTTATTTTTACTGTATATACTGTTACCACATTATCATTGTACAGTATATTAAAATGAGTTTACCAAGTGAAATTGCAAGAAAAATATATGCTTATGTTAAAAGTATTGAAGTTAAAAAAGAAGAAATTCATGAAGAAAAAATGGCAATTGAAGAAGATGAAAAACATTTAGAAACTATGAAGAAGGCAGTTAACGAATTACGATTAAAGATAAATCGACAAAAAGAAAGAATACATGTAGTCAGTGAAGAAATAAAAGGGATTGAAAATAATATTTCTGGACAATTACAAAGTTTGAAAGAAATTAAAGAAGAACATGAAAAAGGAATGGTATCACCAAAATATAGATATGTTGAACAAGAAAATGCGGCAACAGTCTATGAAAGGGTGTTGGATTCTCTCAGGGAAAAAGGAATAATATAACGATAACATATATACAAAAAACTAATATTATTGGAAATACTGGAGGGATAACGTTACGAGGGAATCGTAAGGAAATAATTAAACAGAAGTATAAAAATTTTAAGATATAAATTACAATTATAATAAAACGGAGGAAACCGTAAATTAATATATTATAGTAATTTTTTATAAATATAGGACTTATTATTTTATGTAAAGGATATTTTTGATAAAGGATACACGGTTTTTATCGAACATACACTCAATGTACCTTACATAAACTAAGGGATGAAAACCCTACTGAAAGACAAGTTTCAAACCCACCTTAATAAAAAATTGTTGTTTCTCTAATCATAATTACTGTATTACTTCGCTGTTTTCAATAACAGGGTTATTGAAAATAGCGATAAATAATTTATTACAATTATATTTTAGATTCCTTTTATTTTTTTCCTGATTTAACTTTAAGATTTTATACAATTAAATATATATATGTAAGATATATATGTATTTATATAATAATTTCATATTGCATCCTTTTATTATATTCCATATCAAATCCTATATTTTTATATTACAATTTAGATTATATATTATTTTCATTATTTACTCACTGTTCACATAATCGATTTTAATATTTTCACGTTACGTTACTGATTATTACGACTAAGTACTATTTATATTACCAGAGAACTAGAGTCATTTTTAAAGTCGCAGAAAATTCGTATTTTTGATTCTCAAATCTTTAAGAATCCCACTGAGATTGGCTCCGGAGGATTCTCTTTTGTTTATGTTGCATATTGGAAGAATACAACAGCAAAGTATGCGATTAAAAAATTTAAAGAAACTTCTAAGGAAGGAGACATTATTAATAAAGTATGTAACTGATATGTCATTAGTTAACTTTTTCGACATCATTATTTATATAGATATTAATTCTTTGTTTTGTTCTAGATTAAGATTATGGCAAGAGCTTCTTATCATCAATATATAATTCGATTTTTTGGGGTTACGAAATTACAAGGCAAAATAAATAATTATAATAGATACTTTATTATGAGCGTATCGTTTACATACTTTTTATTTTAGACGAAAAAAAATATTCACTCGTTTTAGAATATGCAGACGGTGGAACACTAAGAGATCATTTAAGAAACAATATTATTGTATGGAAGAACCAATTAAGATTTGCCAAAGAAATCACGAGTGCCATTTTATGGTTACATGATGATGAGGGAATCATACACGGTGATCTTGTAAGTATTTTCTTATTATTTAACAGAACTAAGTAGTTCATTATATTATTTATGTAATTAACGAATTCTTTTTTTAGCATCCCAATAATATCTTAATACATCAAAATACGATTAAATTGGCAGATTTCGGTCGTTCATCTGAAAAAGGATCAGATTGTTATAATACTGAAGAAGTATGGGGTGTAATGCCTTATGTGGATCCTAAAGTGTTTGATCGAAAAACTCCATCAAAGATTAACGAGAAATCTGATATATATAATTTGGATTTTTATTCTGGGAGTTAACTAGCTGCACGCCACCTTTTGATGGTCTTGATGATGATGAACAAATTATATGTAAAATACTAAGTGGTGGGAGAGAAGAACCTGTTCTGGACACGAATGTTAAATTTATTGAACTTTATCAAAGTACTATAAAATTAATTGCTTCGCAATTAATCCTTTGGTACTAATACAATTTTATTTATTTTGTCGCAATCTAATTTTATCCGTTTGAATAGAATGTTGGGAATACGAACCAGATGAACGACCAAATATTTCCCAAGTAAATTCAGAACTTAATAGTATTGATTCTGAAAACAATAACGCATCTACTGTTCCTTATTCTAAAGAAAGTGAAGAAAGTAAAAAAACGAAGTTTGTATATTCTTGTCAAATTGATTTAAACGAGATTTGTCTACAAAATTAGTATGCCCTTTTTTAGATTTTTCGCTATCATCATAGCAACTGTTTTCCTGTTCAAATAGAGTGCTTTTTTTTTTATTTTTATTTTTTTATCTTAACTATATGAACATTTATTTCCTTCTATATCAAAATAAAAGCTAGATTTTTTATTACATAATACACTGATTGTGCGGTTATTATACAACTTTATTCGCAATTCATAAAAAGTGCACAATGTTTTTTGCATTTGTGGTAGTTATGGTAGAACCGTAGAAGATAAACTATAAAGTACGAATCGTATATCTCAGTAAACGTCTGTGTGATGTTATTTTTGTACGGACTCGTAACAAAAATAAATCAAACAGATTATGAAATATCCACAGCAGGAATATACTTCATCTTTTTACTGAGCCGCACATCACGTTATTTTTCTTCCGATTTACGAGACGTGATGACTTAAGGTCACTTTCTAGCTTTGATGATTATCTAGTCGAATTTTATGACTATGTTGATATCTGCCTTTCATATACCCTGAGAGTATTATACGTTGGAAAAACTTTGACTTAATCAAAACTACGAACTTTAAATAGGCACTTCAAGCAACAAATACAATAAATAATTCCTTATTACTAAAGAAATTACAGATCCGTCAACATGATATCAAATGATGAGTGATACCTATTACAAAATAATATGTATTATCAAATACAAAGCAACACGATAGATCCATTTACGAGAGCATAATGCAGGTCAAACTAAGTTAATGCCGGCCGTAGTTAAACCAATATCGACTTAAACTCCGGTATACGTAATATCGTATACCGGTTGCTTCTTTTACGCATTGAAGAACTTCAGACCTTTAACTAAAAAATAGAGTTAAATTTTTTAAAAAATATTGCGAAATTGTTTTTTACTTTTATCTATGAATGTAAAAAATTCGGTATTTTTCACTAATTGTAACAAGTAACGAATAATAAATTGCAAATATAAAATCAGAACAATAAAATTATTACCATATTGCAAATTATTTAATAATTATAAACAAATCAAAAAATTTTCCATAGTTTATTTTTTATAAAGTCAAGCATTTTGTTAAATCACTTATATTTTTTACAAGGTGAAGCAATCGCGTCTTTTTATTTTTTAATTAACGTTATTACTAGAATATACTATGCTATTGTAACCATGCAGTTAATGTCGCTATGGAATGGTTTATTGGAATTAAGAAAATATAAAGTATAAAGTTAAAAGCGTAGCGATCGGTAATTTTTATGACGTGACTCTTGAAACTCTCATTCTTTTACATGCTCAAAAATGTCCTTTAACTTACTTATTAATGTTAAATCTTGTCAAAAAAGAGTTCATAAATCAATTCTTTACAAAAAAAAAAATAATTTCTTTTTAGAATGATAAACACTAGAACTTTTTATTTTATCGGAAATATATTGATAGATACTGTAACTTTTTTTTTAATATTTAAATCGATGATTAAAAGAATAAAGAATATTTATTAACCTATCCAAACGTGCAAAATTGGAAGCATTTTGTTGAATGTCCACAGCCGCGTTATATAAATATACATCAGGAATTAGTAGTCATAACTCGGTCAAATTCATAGTTCCGACCGTTTTGACAAGAATTACGACAGTAGTCACAGTACAGTGATAAATCTACAAAATTTTCGTATAGTGACTATTTGAGTGATTTGACCCGAGTTTGTCCGAGTAAATATTCCAAGATATAAAGTATGATGAAGTTTTTAAAATGAGATTTTTTTTTCAAACTAATCAAAAAACGTATTACTTTTGGGTGCAAATTATATTATTTAGGTACTTCATTTATAAACTAAAAAAAGAAAGAATTGAAAATTCGATCCATCAGTCCTGCAACAATTTATAATTCATAAAGGTAATGTTTTTTAGGTTTATACTATCGTAATATTCAGAACTCTCAAACCCTGCTTTTTTGTAATTGTTCAGTTAGTAGATATAAATCTGAAACGCTAATAATGCTAATTCAATTGGATATTTATTTAGCGGTTAGATAAATAATTTCTGTCGTCAATCAAATAAGTATCTGTTTGTAAGTAAAATACCTGTTTAATAAAATAAATATCTGTTGCTAGTCAAATATGTATCTGTCGTTAATCAAGTAAATATCTTGTCTCAAATAAAGTAAATACCTGTCTCTAATCAAATAAATATCTGTTTCAATTACATAAATATCTGTCTCAAATAAATACCTTTTATGCTTGTTTTATAAATAGAGATCTGAAAATTAACTGACTGTGAATTTAGCCGATAACGTGCAACATAACTTTTTGTATCACCGAAAAGTGTTAGTTTGTGAGATGCTGCTAGCTTTAATTTTTGGCGGCGAACACGTAATCCACTTTTTTTCGCAGGTCTATACAGTATAGTACATAGTTTTTTTTTCAGTCGATTCTATTTTTTCTGCAACAGGAGGGCGAATGGATTTAGGTGTTTACCTCATCGATTGTGTTCTAGCTATACGACTTATTTTATACTAGAATTCGCCCAAATATATTTTACAATCCCAGGGATTATAAATTTTGTTTTCAAGGCTAAAGCCCGACTTACTGAATTCCTGTTATATGATCACTTAGAATGTATTACAGCCCTCCTCACTAATCAGGATCACTAATTTGTTTTCTCGCCTATTTGCGCCTTCCTGATTATTTCCTGCTACAATATCTTGAATTCTTTTTTTATGATTCCGGCGCCTCTCACTCATTAGGAAAGCTAATTTGTTTATTATCCAGCTAACAATTTCTAATTATAATCCAGGAAGGGTAAATAGATTAGATGTTTACGGTTCCGCGCTTAGAGAATGCCTTCTTTTCCATCTCTCTGTATCATGATTATCATAGCGTACAGTCATTCTGTGAGAATTTCTCCTATGCTCAGCAATTTGAGTATCATTGTGCTGAGTTGGCTTAATAATCGAAAGGCAAATTTTTCTTACAATAATGTGGTAATTCGCGCCTGCCTCTACTGAGCTATTCGTTGACAATTCCCATATGCATCTCCCTCATTATTATACAGTATGTCAGGATAGCCAAATCCGCTCTCCCTGAGATTCATTTAATAACCGCTGTATCCATAAATTCTGATTTCAGCTATCCCTTAATTGTTGTCTAAGAACTTCTATATACTCGCCCATTTTCAGCATTTAATTTGATAGTAGTCTCTAACTTCATTTATTGCTACGGCTCGTCACATTTATCCTGTCGCACAGACTTGCTGTGGAT